TTACCGACTTGTTTGCTTCAAGTCTTTCTATGTTCCCTTGGATTACACTTACCTCCAAGTTCAAACCAGGCACTTTGGGTTATTTTGTGCTGGGAAAACATCTGAATGATTCAGGCAGGGTATTTTCCCTAAGTGATTTGCGGGTCAATGACAAATGTGTCTACAGTAAAGAAAAGAACAGAGCTTTTAAAAATCTAGTTCGAAACACATGTATACCAAGTCCTTAGAAGTCAATTTTTTATATTTATGATTGTTTCATGTGTAAAAAAAAATGTTCTGTGTGATGTACGTAATTTGCAAGTGACCTTGAGCACTTGAAAACAAAGTCCACTTAATAGTGCGCGCATATCACGTCTTTTTGCACTCGCGGCCTAAGGAGTAAACCTTGAAAGGCTCACGCATCCAACTGTTTCCGAAACGAAGCACAACGCGGAAAATTAAGTATTCCCGGGCCTTTAGAAGCCTTCAGCATCCCACTTTACTGCTGATGACGGAACATATGGTGCTTTTCCACTACACAGTACCAGCTCGACTCGACTCGGCTTGCCTTTGTTTGGTTTTCCACGGTGTAAAAGTGGTACCTGTTAGGGCTGGGTATTGACACAAATTTCACAATTCGATTCCATTTCGATTCGATTCAATATTGATTATTTTGGATATCAGTTACAATAAATTAAAACAGTTAAAACAAATTTTCCTCAAGGAAATCAAATCTCTTAACTAATGCTGTAAACTATGGGAGTCTAGTTGTAGCCTGCTAGGCTTCATTAGCCTAATATGAAGGTAATAATGAACTGTTTTGTAGCTATACAAACACTTAAATTACATTTTTATTTATTTTTATAATAAGAAGATTATGTGAAATATAAACATTTAAATGGTGGCTGTCATAAAAACTTGCCAGATTTATTCAAATATGCATTAATTATTGAAGAACATAAAGATTATAATGCATATGTAATATGGTGTATATTTAGCAAAATGCTCCTCTCTAGAGTTATTTTTTCTAGCTGACTAACGAGTTGATGTGGGTTTTCTGAGGTAAATATGACGATAGATGACGTCTTTCCACGGTTGAAACCCTGTTTAAGCGAATCAATGTGACATGATACGGATTTCGATAAGTTGTACTCTATCTTTTAACACACTTTCAGATGCTCATTCATGTTTATTTCACGCTGTTAGTATTATTAAGCCGGAAGAGAGATCAGCGCTGCTGCTTCTCTTGAGCTGCGCCAGAGCGATCTCACGCCATAGCGCCAAAACGCTGTTTATGTTTTTGAATTTCTAAAGAAAATGGACGTAATTTGAAAATTGAGACTTTTTTTCATATCAATAGTAAGAAAGGACGAAGATTATTGCAATTTTATTTTATTTTTTTGGATGCGCGCAACTGCGATACAATGATCCATTCATTCAAATGAAACAGGATGACTAATCGATTCTTGAGATTTAAGAATCGATATCGGTTCGTAAAAATGAGAATCGATTAATATCGATAAATCGATATTTATTACCCAGCCCTAGTACCTGTACCTGCTTTCGGGTACTTTTTTGTATCACCTCCGGCGAGGTTCTGAGCGAGCGAAGGCGAGCCAAGCCGATACTAAAATTTGACGTGAAAACTGTGCCAACTGCTTATTGGTCAGAGAGAATAGTCACCATTCACTGCGTCATCATTGCACACACCAGATCGAGTATCCAGAATAACCCCGCCATTTTTAAATAGTTTCGCCAGAGATAGTTACTAAACTTACTACTTTTATTATGGCAACTCGGAAGAATACGCCGTGGTCAAACGAGGAGGTGCAGACTTTCTTTTTTTTGGTTGCTAAAGAGAGGATCCACGAGGGCTTGATGGGGCAACGAGGAACGAAAGACGTCACTATGATGACCGGGTACTACTTGTGGCGGTACTGTCTGCAATGGAAAACAGAGCGAAAAGCGAGTTGAGCTGGTACTGGTAATGGAAAAGCGGCAATAGACTTGCTCATCTGTCTTCAAAAAAGCAGAAACCTTCTTCAAGAGGAGACGGGGGTAGCATTCTTGCGAAGCGTACTAAACTAAATTACTGTTGTTAAAGCAGTTTTCATACACTAACAGTTTCGCCCTCAATGCAAATGAGGCTTAATGTTATCGTGTGTTGCCGGTTAGATTGCAGTACTTTCACTTGATCACACACTGGTTCAGTTGTGCAGTCTAACAGCACTAATTGTGTTCTGTGTCTAATGCAGTTGCACGAATAGACCAGCACGCAGGACATGAATACTAACAGGAAGCCCAGTACCTTCAACAGAACAGCCCACTTCAACTGGCACAAGCTCATTGCGTTGCATCTATCACTTTGCTAAGTAATTGCTTTTTAACACGTTGAAAAACTAACCAAGTTTCAGTTTAGTCACCAGAGGACGGATGGGTTTTTTTATAGAGCTCACCTTGTTCGGCTTCTGTATGGGAAGGGAAATTGAAATGTCTATTTGAAGTTCATCGCCAGATAATTATTTTCCAATTAGATCTTGGCTGATTGTGCTCTGATCTTCTCTATTATAAAGGAAAGGATTCGGTAATCAAAGGCTCATCTAATCAGATGCTTTAAAGTTTAAACCGTTTTAAATTGCCCTGAGATCTCTGCCTTCATATATATGCTGTGATTAGAGCCTAATTCAGACCTCTGAGAGAAGTAAACGCATAGATCTGATGGATGAAGGATGTGGCTGTAAGGAGGATGCTTGTGTTAAAGAACAGGGACAAAGTTTAGCAGGTTAGAATGGTTCTGTTCGCCCCTGCTGGCAGATGCTGTAACTAAACCATCTGAACTGAAAAAACCAAACCATGTTGCTAGATTCACAATCATTCATTATTGTGTGTGTATATTCTGCCGATATATTGAATATTTCTTACAAATGTTTACTAGTTCCTTTAACAGATTGATCAGTGCAAACTATATAGTTTAATTCCCCACCAGACTGAACAGTTTTTTTTGAGCTGGTTCTTTTTAGTGAACCCTCTTTTTTTTTTTCTTTTTTTTTTAAGCATCATATTGAACTTCTGATTTAAATTCTCTTAATTTGCCAATAGACTGTTGAGAGAAATATATGCTAAAGGCTTGTTTGAACTAAGAACGGTAAATATAAAGATAACAATGACTATATTTGCATCCATATCAACAGACAATAATGTTCTGTTTATTAAAAGCACTAATGTAAGGATGGATTCTAATTGGCTGGCAATGTTTTTTTTTTTTATCATTCATCAGCTGGAATTCATTTTAAAAGAGATTCCAACATCATGCCTGTGTTACCATCAATATACTGTAGTTATTGGATAGAATTCCCTACTCGCATAGAATTAGAACGATTTTTCAAACTTTATAGTTTAGTTATTAATTTTATGAGATTGACAACTTGCATTAATGAATTATGGACAAGAACATGGCAACCAACACCGAGAATAATTGTTAATCATGTCTTAATTGACAGGTACCCTTTTCATGATGTTGAGATCTTGATAAATATTTTATTTCTAATATTTTTATGCATACACAACAGCATTTACGCAGTCAGTCAACCTCTCTTATCATCTCAGCCCATCTGTGCATGCTCAATTACCTTAATCAAGTCTCTATCAAACTCGCATTCTTTCACACTCCTGGTTGGATTTCGCTGCTCATCCCTGCTTTCACTTGTACCGTTATCTATCATTTTGGTGGTGTCTCTCATTCTGTGAAGTTAGTACAGGGTTTAATTTAAAGGTTTAATAAGGATTTTTTTTTACTTGCCCAGCTAACATTTCATTAGTCCTAAAACCACATGCTGCAAATCAAAAGCGTTATGTACATTAAAAACATGTACAAGTAAAAACATGGTTCAGGGCCAAACAGCTCCGTGAATGAGCCAGAAACTCACTCACACTTGTGAGCCATCCTTTCTGTAACATGATATTGCTGTGTACATCCTGCTGCAAGACGTGGCATTATACAGTACGTCTGGATACCAAACCTTTGTGCATGAGCTGCACTTATTTGGCAGTGATGCCCTCTGCTGGCTTTATATGGTTGTCAGTGAGTGTTTTTGATCTGTTATAGCAGTGATTGGAGTTTCCATTATCTAAATTTAGCTCTAAATTTTCTGCCCCCCAACGGCAAAATGTGAATGGTCCGTAATCTTCCTCCACATAGCTGTGCAAGTGCGCATTAAGTATCATATTCTAATTGACGGAAACAAAATAAAATTTGAAAGTCTTTAACGGTTTTATTTTTGAAGAATTGTTAGCCGATAAAATAGTTAAAAGCGTAAAATTGTGAAGTATTGCAATTTGAAATAATTGTTTTCTATTTTGATATATAATAATGTAATTTATTCCTGTGATTTCGGTCTTCAGTATCACACGATTTTTCAAGAATCATTCTGACATGCTGATTTGGTGCTCACGAAAAATCTAATCACAGGTAAAAATTAGAAGCTTAAAATACAAGTAGTAACTGAAAAGAAAGTTCAAACGAACAGCAGTTTTATGATATTTTGAAACATCATAAATGTTTTACCGACACTTAAATAAATGCGGAAAATACGTCCTCTACACGCTACCTTGTGTTTATTTTATAATCAATAGAAACACGTACGAAGACCGTAGAATTGAAATGGATTAGAGTAAAAACAGAAACTTGAATGTCTGAATGAAACTGAATGTTTGTTTGCATGTTGAAGTGATACTGTTGCCGTGGTTTCCAGGCCAAGCCTGGTGTAGATGATCAACTGCCAAACAGGAGATGTGCCCATTGTTTGAGGGATCCTCATGCGCCTTTCCCAGCATAGATGCATGTCTATTGTTTTATGTCACAGGCATGAATAAAAGATTTAAAAATTAGATCCTGGATGCATTTCTTTCTCCTTTTTCTTTTCATTTTTGTATAACCAGCCCCAACACATGCCTTTTTTTTTGCCTTTCTATGTTGATTTCATGGTGATTTTAAACATTTTCTACCTCCATCTCTCTTTCAGAATGTCAAGCCCTTGTCCTCTTCAGACAGCCTAGCGAAGGTGCAGGAGGTAGCAAGCTGGCTTTTGGAAATGAACCAGGATCTGCTGTCGGGGGGCAGCGGCAGCAGGGCGGCCCAGCAGCAGAGGCCCGGGGAAGGTAACAGCTCCTCCGGCCGCACACCCCAGCCCCAGGCGGAGCACGTCAACCAGGTGCTGGAGGAGGAGGAGGAGCAGAGGAGAGAACCGGGCGAGGAGGAAGAGGGCAGACGGGAAGGGGAGGAGGAGCCATGGCCTTCCGGAGGCGAACTGGTGGAGGAAGGACGGAGGAGCGAGGTGAACGGAGCCGAGAAGGGCGCCCAGTGGATGTGGGAGGATGAGCAGCGCCGGCGGCGGAGACGGCATCGCGACGACGAGGAGGAGAACGAGGAGGAGGAGGAGAATAATAACGGCGGACGGGATGGGCAGGGACTTCGTTCAGAGGAAGACGACGACCGGCCGGAGGAAGAGGAGAATGGCGATGAGGAGGAAATGGACCAGGACAGTGATGAGTCTGAGCATTCAGAAGACAGTGGGAAAGAGGAGGAGGAGGAGGAGGCTGAAGATGAGGAGGAAGGAGAGGATGGCCTCCACTCTCCCTCCCTCAGGACCAGTGTTTCGGACCCTAATGATAACACGGACCAGTCCTCTGGACGACAGCACCAAAGCTCACCCTCTGTCTTCAAGAATAAGGTAAGCGACTGAAGTTCACTTTCTCAATTGGGTCTTAATTCACATGGAAATATTCTTCTCACTACGTTAGATTTAATCAAAAGTATCTAATGCGTGCAGATGTTGATGGGATTGAGTCAGGGCTTTTGAAGTCATTGTGTTTGTTTCCCTCTACTGGTCGTTTTTGGCAATCATCTTGTTGAGAATTGATTTTATAGAGTGATAAACTGTCTTTCATAACCTGAACATCACATCCCTGACTAAATGAAGGATAATGCCTCAAACAAAGGTTGGTTTGCTGATGTCAATAATTGGTTTGTTTTGAATGTGCTCAGGCGCTTCTGGATTAGCTCGATGGATTTCATTTTAAAACGAAATTGCTCCTTTTTTTTTTTTTCTTCTTCACATTCTCGGATCACTGATGGATGTTAAAGCTAGGATTTTTTTTTTTTTCTAGCCGAACCCCTTTGATGTAAAAAAAAAAAATAAAATAAAAATCTCAATAGCCCTGAGATTTTAATTTATTATTTCAAATATTTAATGTTCACACAGTTCTCTGATGTCAGTTAATGATCACATTGAGATGCAGTAAACGCATAATATTTTAATCTTTAAGTGTTTTATTTTAAAATTATTTAAAATATGATTTACTTTAGTCAAAAAAATTACATTTATGATTATCTTGTCAAATCCCAGTATGAGATAAACATTAATTTCTTGTAGCTGCCAGCAAAATTATTACTTAATAGTGTTCTGTGGGAAAAGTCATGTCTGGACTAGTCCACTTCTGAGGTTTTAAACAGCTAGCTAGCTGCCTGTTGTTACTCGTCATTGACCTGCAAAGGAAAGCGTTTTTTTTTTTTTTTTGCTATTTGATTAGACTGGTTGTTTCAATATGCTTAAAGTTTGAGCAGACTGTCAAATGCAACATCTGTATAGAGATGTGTTTTGATGTTTCTTGGGTCAGACGCAAATGACCTATAATTCCAGTCTGATTGGTTAAGGATCGTCTCTGACATAGAGACTGACTCTCTAGCCAATGGTTATCATTCTCCAATCACCAATATTAAAGGGTTAGTTCACCCAAAGATGAAAATTATGTCATTAATGACTCACCCTCATGTCTTTGACCATTTATCTTCGGAACACAGTTTGAGATATTTTAGATTTAGTCCGACTCAGAACTTTCTGTCTTTCCATTTAAAATGTGTATACGGTATAATGTTCTTGTACAGAAAGGAAAAAAAGACATCAAAGTAGTCCATATGACATCAGTGGGTAAGTTATAATGTTTTGAAGCATCGAAAATACATTTTGGTCCAAAAATGACAAACTACGACTTGATTCAGCATTGTATTCTTTTCCGGTCCTGTTGTCAATCCGCGTTCAGTGACTCTGCTGACGTGTATCTGCGCCCGAGCTTCGTTCACAGTCTGAGGGAGACGCACACTGTAAACAAAACAATCTTCACAAACATTTTTAAGGATTTGGACACAGAGAAAGACTTTTTTTGCCCAGCCATATATTTATTTGAACCCGAATTCACAGGCACACCGGATAACACGTCAGCAGCGTCTTACGTCACAAGTTGTTATTTTTGGACCAAAATGTATTTTCGATGCTTCAAAACATTCTAACTAACCCACTAATGTCACATGGACTACTTTGATGTCTTCAGTACCGTAAATACAATTTCAATGAAGGGACAGAAAACTCTCGAACTAAATCTAAAATGTCTTAAACTGTTTTCGAAGATGATCAGAGGTTTTACGGGCTTGGGACGACATGAGGGCGAGTCATTAATGACATGATAATTTTAATTTTTGGGTGAACTAACCCTTTAATGATACATGTGTCTGGATCTGAGACGTCTGGCCTTTTCTTTCTTCCTTTTTTTTTTGTTGGCTGCAGTGTTTGATCATCGATTAAACCTCCAAGGCCATAAACATTTACTTGAATAATGTGTGTATTTTGGCAAGTCATGTTGTATACATAAGCAGTTTCATTCAAATATTGTGTATTAGTCAGATGGAAACAAAATAGAGAGATTGGGTCTGTTTTTGAGCAAAGAGGAAGTGCAAATGAGTGGAGATAAAGAGCGAGGGGAGGGAATGCAAGAGCACGCAGACCCTCCTCATCCTCATGATGTCGACACGCTTGTCATCGCACTGACAGAAGACGACCCGCAAATCCTTTCACCGTTTGTTTCTGTGACTGAGCGGAGTCTCTCTGAGCTGCCATGGGGAATCGCAGTATGAAGAAGGTCGCACTGTTACTGGTGAGTGAATCTCCAGAGAACATCTTATCACATCTGTGTGTGGAGAGCGTCTCATCCGCCTTGTGTTTTGGATGAACACTGTTTATCTGATTGAGGCAGTCACAGCAGAGCTGAAGTTCGCAGAACAGTGATGTCTGGAGTGTACCTTTTCAAAAGGATGTCAATGTTTTGTCAGGTTTTTTTTTTTTTTTTTAACATAATATTGGCTCAATCTAGTGTGCTGCCTGTCTAGTAGGGATGGGGTCAAGATGTTCGACTAGATGACCTTGCTAAGTATTAAGATTGCAAACCCTAGTGTAGTGGTGGTTTAATTAGCATATTGACAATATGCTGAAAGCAGTGGGTTTTTAAAGCTGGTCTCTGAGCACACTAGGGGGCAGCAAGAGGGTGTTATGGGCTCCACAGAAAAGTTTCGAGAGAAATTGTGGTAATTTTAAAATGTTAAATTTTAAGTACTTATCAGAAATATTAAGAAATCAATTATTTGATTGTTTTTTTATTTATTTATAGTTTATTATTGACTTTAATGTCTTTAGTTAACTAATATTTCAATTTATAATTTCAGATTATAAAATGAATATTTTTCAGATTATATTTTACCATTAAATAATGTATAAAATAAATCAAAATAAATATATTTAAATATAAAGAACTTAAGTACACTGCAAAAAAAATCAAATTTACAAGAACTTAAAGATGTAAACATGTTATGAGTTAACAATTGATAATCACAGTGTAGATTAGATTGTGTTGAACTGTTTGTGAATCTCTTTGCAACTGTGGGATAATTGCCTATCAGGGTAATGTTTGCCTGTAGTATAAGAGCAAATAATGCTCATGTAATGGACTCAAACAAAGGTGAAAGAACAAGGTTTGTAGATTCTTGAATTGCATTGTTAAATGCTAAACAGTCTTTTGTTGCCCTGGCAAGAATTACTAAAGAGCACCTATCATGGATTTTTGAAAATGACTGTTCATATGGTGTGGAATATAGCTCTAAGGGAATGAAAACATCCTGCAAAGATTTATATCTGAAAGTGCACCGTATATAAAGTTATTGTCTTTCAAAAGTGAGAGTCGACTCTGAGTCTATGAAATTAATTGTTTTTGAAACGAGTCATTAGCTGTTACATCGTGACGTAGAGAGGTCATTGGCCGCTCCCAACAACTGCGCGCGCATAGAACACATTAAAATACTTCAGCTGAATCACATCATTTCGAGAAGACGCTGTGTTCTACATTGCAAAGACAGTTCAGGCACTTGTTTCCATTGTCCAGGGACGAGCATGTGAAGAATCAGTGGTCAGAGTTCATATTTGCAACGCCCGAACCTTGTGTTCTCATCATTTTAATGACGAATCATTCAAAATTCAAAAACCTAAAAGAATTCAAATGTGGATTCGCAAGCAGGTTGTTCCTGAAGGAGGGCTCAGTATCCAGTGTATATGGATCAGGTTCGTCCTCCTCCAAATCACAATCTGTAAGTAATATTAATAATGTTTGCTGCTATGTTTTCTGTAGCATGCACAATATAGTTATATTGTGTTGTGTGTTGCTCTGTGCAGCTTCTAAGCGGGGTAAAGTTAGTTTTGTTTTTGATATTCACCAGACATTCATTGAAAAATGGCAATTACCTCCTAATCGACTTGGCCAAATATGACTTCGCTCTATATAATAAGCACTGTCCCTCAAAAGCTGCCGCAATGTGAGTATCGCCAGGAAAGCTTGCTCTTGACGGAGACGCGAGTAAGGGACTGTGTGGAAAGTGCACTTTTTCTGACACGTTTGTTCAAACACTATATACAATTTTCAACACTTGACAAGCTATAATCCTGGTTATGGGCGTTCCGTTGCCGACAGTCTCTGCCTACGGTTTACCAATAAAAACTGACTGGGTCATTTGACCAATCGCCGCAGATTCGCGTCACTCAAAGGAGGTGTTTGGGAAAATGAATCGTCGAACGAATCATTTGGGAGTCGTTGAGCAAATCGGGTAAAAATAAATGCATATTATAAGACAAATAAAGTGTTTTTTATCCTTGCATGCACGTTAAACTGTTTTTGGGAACTCCTAAAACAAAAATAGGAACATTTTTCAAATGGTATGATAGGGGCTCTTTAAATTCTCTTAAAAGTCTGTTGCTCATTAGATGAACAAATGGATTGAATTTTGAATTGAAAAGTTGTTTTTTATGCAATAATAAACATATTTGTACAATATTTCAAATTCAAAATGCAAGACGTACGTCATCAAAAGAAAGGGAAGGTGGCGAATGATGTCAACTGAGGTGGACAATCAACTACAGCGATAATAAGTCTTGTTTTCCCCCCCAATTGTGACAAATGTTTTGCTGATCTTTAAAGTTGGTGCAAAAAAGCTAAAGCTTGAATTATTATTTTGTCTGCGTCCATTGCAAATCGAAACTTTTTACTTCCTTTTCCGTCTAGGTCAGTACGTCTACCTTGGGTTGTTTTGCCAAGTGGAAAGTGTAAAAGCAGATATTGGAAAGAGATCACTTTTAAAAGATGTAAGATGGCTGTCCAAAAATAAAAATCAGACATTGTCAACAAATTGGAATTGGGATGACGAACTGCAGTATAAAGGTGGCCTTGTAGACTCAATGGTACAGCGCACATCTGTGGCTGTTGTCCTACTCCCTTTGGCTAGATCAAGACTTCATTAAGAACGTGAATAGGAATGCTGAAGCATTGTAAATGAGATCAATCTAAAATATTTTCCTTG